CTTCCCTGGAGCACCGAGGAGCACATGCCCAATCGACCGATGAGCGCCGAAATCGCCCAAGTGGAAACCCTAGCGAGAAACTAAGGAGCTATAATATTTATTTCCCCTTTTTTCGGGGTATGAAAGAAGGATGTGAATAAGGTTAGAATAGAATACACCATAGCTAATATACTTTTATTGCTCATAATAAATATGAGTTTATTTATTTATTCTGAACAATATTTTGATGAGATGTCATAATCCTATTATTGTTATAATGGGAAATATAAATTCAATCTTTTTTATTTCCATATCATCTTGTCCGATACACAACAGCCACATATAATTATAGTTGATAATAATAATTAATATGTATAAAGAAGAACTATAGGTGTATGGAAAAGAACCAACAGATGTATTGGAGCAATCATACTCTTTGTACATTTGATTCCTTTTGGCTTTGGTCGAATTCTTATTACTTAATCACATATGGACTCTTGGTTATTAACCAACTCCATCTTTGTAATTATGAAGGCTTCTCTTTATATAATGAGAGCATTGTATTGAGAAACATAGGTTGGAAAAGCATAAAAAACTTTCACCTCTCTAAGCTTCGATGGTCTTCTCTCTTCTATTGTTTTATCTTTTATACCAAGTTATCTTGGTATCATAGACAGGTTGCCTGTGCTACTTATTTCTCCCATTTAATTTGTATTGGCATTTTTCTTTGTTTAGTTAAGAATTTGTCCGTAGCTTCCATGAAAGATAACCCAGAGGCTAATGTAAGCTCTAGGTTAGGCATCAGCAATAACATTATTCCTACTCAGCTGAAGTAAAGATGGCTCCTGCACTTGCCCGCCCATGGGTTGGTCTGTAGAATTCAAAATATGTTCCCAGACCTAGTCCAATATTTAAGAAGCTTACTGCACCTGTTAATTCTACTGAATTTAGTAACCCTGCATTGTATATCATCAGTTGCTTGGGTCCCTGTAGTATGTCACCTTGACTCGTCATGATATTTCATTTGCTGTTAATAAGCTATGTTAACATATGCATTGACCTCTCGTATTTCATTGTGAAGAGTTAAAATGATTACATTGTTACCTTTAAGGAACCCTTAAGCTTGGTATTCCATTGTATAAGGATTATATCAACCTACAAGCTTATATAGATTCTGATTGGGCTAGTGATTCATTTAATTGCAAATCAACTTTCAGTTATTGCATATTTATAGGCACTTATCTTATTTCATAGAGTGTTAGAAAGTAAGCATTTATCTCTCGGTCTTCTACTGAAGTCAATACAAGGCTATCACTTTAGCAGCTTCTGTGTATTTGTAGATGATTGTTTTGAGGAAAAGAAAAATATAGATGATTTGTTCCGCTGCATTTGATGCTTCATAGTAGCTCTGTGTGTGTCTGTTTTTGAGTTGAAATATTTGGAAGAATCAGTTCCGAAGCAAATTCCAAAGCCAGATCCTGGTCTGTCGTTTTGTTTGGCTGGTCGCGGCCCGGTGCGGGTGGGATCCGTCTTGGGTCGGGTCGTGACAGAAGTCAAATATAAGGCTATCACTTTAGCAGCTTTTGAAATCATCTGGATACGTTGCTTACTCACTGATTTTAACTGCTCTTCCGCTACTTCTACTACTTTGTTCATTGGTGACACCTCTGCTATTGCTCTTGCAAATAACCATATGTTTCATACTTGTACAAACACATTGAAGTAGATTGTCATTTTATTCATGATTGTATCAAAGCAAATCACATTATAACATGTTTGAAATGAGGATCAACTTGTATATATATTTGCAAAACCACTATCCATATCTCATATTCAGACTCTTGTAGACAAGCTGGTTACATTGCTGGAAGCACCAACTTGAGGGGGAATGATAACAATAATTAATATGTATAAAGCAGAACTGCAGGGGTAATGGAGCAGAACCAGCAGATGTATTGGAGCAGTCTTACTCTTTGTACGTTTGATTCCTTCTAGCTTTGATCTGTTGCTCATTACTTTATCACATCTGGACGTTGATTATTAACTAACTTTGTCTTTGTAATTATGAAGGCTTCGAAAGCTTTTACCTCTCTAAGGGGCTATTTAGTAGCAGGATTTAGGCCAGATTTGAGGCAAATTAGAGCAAAATCTAGCCAAATGGCCTAAAATGCAAAACCAATTTTCACGGTAAATGAAAGCTATGGTAGACGAAAAATTACCCATTTTTGTGGCAAATCCCGGATTTCCAAAATCCTTTGATTCAGCAGATTTTACACTCTATTGGTGCGAGAGGTAAGAAGAATTCGCTCATTTCAGGATTTAATGCTCATAGCCAAACAGTCGCATAAGATTTAACAAGATATATCATGAATGTTACTAAACATTTTTCAAGATTTAACCCGCATGATTTCGTAAATTTGGATTTAGATGATTTATGAAATCCTACTTGATACGTCCTCAAAAAATTATCTTGATCAGGCACGAATCTCGATGCAAAATCAAATTGGAAACTTCCAAAATTAAAATTGGGACCATCCGAACTCCGATTTCAGTAAACTTACAGTCAAACTAAATGTCTCGGAAATACAAACCCAACGACATCAAATTTGACTCAATTCGAGCCCAAATAAGTCCAAATAAAGGACCCAAAGCACTATTGGAAGGTTCAAAACACAATTTGGATTACTAAACGGTTTCCGAACAATACGTAGTTATAATCGAATCGAGCGGGTCGACGAGAGAGATCCAACGAGCCCATGATCACCAAATTCCGACATCACTAAGACATTCAAATGTCCATCAAATGGTCCATGATTAAGGGATTCAACATCGGCAATCCATCCAACCACTCCCCCTTTACCCTTGATCTCTCACTTATTTACATGTCACGTCACTCCAGAAATCTATAAATAGACCCCCTCATTCCTCTTGAGAGGGGATACATGATCAAAGCGAGAAGAGAAGGAAGAGAAGGAAGAAGCTCCTCCTCGACCAATGCTGAAGTCTTGCCGGACCACCACTTGAGGCCCTCACATTCGTCGAACCAACACTTGAGGCCCGGACTTCCACCGGACCACCGCCTGACGTCGTTGCTCCGCCGGAGCACCACTTGAGGCCCTGTGCTCCACCAGGCCACCGCATAACGACGGAGTTTCACCTGACCACCGCCTAACATTGTTGCTCCGTCAGACCACCACTTGAGGCCCTCTCCTCCGCCGAACCACCGCCTGATGTCGGAGTTCAGCCGGACCACCACTTAAGAGCCTGAGCTCCGTCGGACCACAGCCTAACGTCGTTGCTCCACCGGACCACCACTTGAGGCCCTCCTCCGTTGACCACCACCTGACGTCGGAGTTTCGCATGGCCACCACTTAAGGGCCTAAGCTCCGCCGGACCACCGCCTAATGTCATTGCTCCGCCGAACCACCTCTTGAAGCGCTCTCCTCAGTCGAACCACCGCCTAATGCCAGAGTTCTGTTAGACCACCACTTAAGGGCCTGAGCTCCACCGGACCACCACCTAACGTCATTGCTCCGCTGGACCACCACTTTAAGCCCTCTCTTTCACCGAACCACCACCTGACGCCGGATTTCTACCGGACCACCACTTAAGGGCCTGAGCTCCGCCGGACCACCGCTTAACTTCGTTGCTCCGCCAGACCACCACTTCAGGCCCTTTCATCCACCGAATCACCACGTGACGCCAGAGTTTTGCCGGACCACCACTTAAGGGCCTGAGCTCTATCGGACCACCGCCTAATGCCATTGCTCCGCCGGACCACCACTTGAAGCCCCTCTCCTCCACCGAACCACCATCTAACGCTGGAGTTCCGCCGGACCACCACTTAAGGGCCTAAGCTCCGTCAGACCACCACCTATCGTCGTTGCTCCGCCGGACCACCAATTGAAGGCCTCACCTTCGTCAGACCACCGCTTGACGTCGTTGCTCCGCCGGACCACCACTTGAAGCCCTCACCTTCGTTGGACAGCCGCTTGACATCGTTGCTACGCCGGACCCCCACCTAAGGCCCGGACTCCCGCCGGACCACCACCTGAGGCCTGGACTTCCACCGGACCACCACTTGACACCTGGACTTTTACCGGATCATCATTTGAGGCCCGGACTTCTGTCGAACCACCACTTGAGGCCCGTAGTTCTATCAAAGTATGGCCCTAAGACAATGGTCTTTCTGACCCCTATCTTCTACCGAATACAATTCTTCCGGCTTCCGTCACCTACTATGGTCCTTCCGACCTCCATCACCATAACGGTCTTTCTGACCCCTGTCTTCTGCCGATTATAGTCCTTCTGACCTCCGTCGCCTACTATGATCCTTCCGATCTCCATCACCAACCAACGGTCTTTCTGACCCCAGTCTCCTACCAACTATGATCTTTCGGACCTCTTTCCTGTTGACAACGGTCCTTCTGACATCAATCACCTATACTATGGTCCTTCCGACCTCCATCACCAGACAAGGGTCTTTCTGACCTCTATCCTAGCAACTATGGTCGTGTCAACCAAACAAACATGTCTATATTGTAATTCCCACCATGTAATTTACTCTATATGATGTACATTTGTACCATCAAGCCAAGACATTCTCCCAAGGAAGGGCCTCATTTGTAATCGACTGCAAATACTAGTCGATTCATTCAAACTAGACCAGGCCCCATGATTTTTCCCCCTTTTTAATGGTTTCCACGTACAAACTCTGGTATATTTTATGAATGTTACACCCTCTCTCTATCTGCTTGTGTACTGGTTCTTCGTACAACGCTAAGACATTAAACTATATATTTCTCTACTGCTACGAACACTCCATGACGCAACACTACTTAAATGAAATCCTAGGTGCTACCAAACAACCCTAAGCTTGGCTGGTCTTCTCCCTTCTCTTCTTTTGTTTTGTCTTTCGTACTAATTAAGTTATCTATAATAATATTAATTTTTAAATAATTATAGAAGTACTTGCACCGATGGGTTAGAAACAGGCTTATAAATCAGAGAAAACTGAGAAAATGCAGAGAGAAGAAATGGACGGAGAATATGGGATTGGGAGATTTGGCGGATCCATGCGAGTTGAGAGCGTCCAGGCTTTGGCCGCTCGACAGAGAGAAGAGATTCCGGCGAGATACATAAGGCCGGAGATGGAGGAAGAGCAACTGCTCCTCGCCGGCGACAGCGAGGCCATTCCGTTCATTGACTTCAGCAAGCTCGTTGACCCTGACTTCTCTGAGGAGGAAGCTGCCAAACTCCATTTAGCCTGTGCTGAATGGGGTTTTTTTCAGGTTTTTTTTTTTTTCTTTTATCCATGAGTCTTCAAAAGATTTTATTTTTTTAAAAATAAGCTTGTTTAGTTAATTAGATCGTCAGATCAAATCTTTGGAGTTTTAATACTGAGTAGCTGAAATATTATTAATACAAAAAATTATTAATTATTGAAGTATGAATTTTGATCTTGTTCGATTCCCCCTTTATATTATTTTAACAAAGAAAAATTTGTGAACTATTATTATTTTTTATTAATGAAGATTAATTGCTTAAAGCTTTGCAAATACAACAAATTTATTTTAATATTTTTATATTAATATTTTATTTGAAATTTGATATATAATATTATTATAATTAGATTTTCTGTTAAGATTTATATGATTTATCATCTCAATCATATATTATTTCATATGATAAAAAATGATTTTTAATTCCAAATAACATATCTTCTTAAAATAGAATTATGAAATATTTATATAATTAATAAAAATTATTATATTTAAATTAATTAAAAAAAATAATTGTTTTAAACAAATATTATTAATCTTATAATATTGTTTATCATTCGAAATAATTCTAAATCTTCTTTATTTGAAAATGATATTTCGATTAATTTTGATAAAGACTTAACGATTTCAAATTTGAAACTTGAAACTCTTAATTATAAATCTTCATATAACAAATGATATAACATTTTCTATATTAAATATTCTAGCTAAAACTTATTTTAAATTCATCAATATAAATCTTATATTTAGATAAAAATATTAATAATCATTTTTAAATCATTAATTTGCGCACCTTTACATTTTTTTTTTGGCTCAGCCTACTCCTCCGAGCTGATAAAACTGTTTACAAAGAAATATATTAGATTAAATTTATTTTAATTTTCTTATATTCAAAGATCTCCACATGGCATGTAATTATGTGAATTTATTTGTAAACAATTTTCTCATTTTGTTTTTTCATTGCATATTTATTTACATGTTGACATTATTTTTATTTATAGAAAGAGGACAAAAGTGTAATTTGCCTGTGTCACCAAAACCTGATACAGATTGTCCTCCAATAGACTTAGAAATAGTTAGATTTATGATGTATAGAAAGAGTTTACATTGCACTAATTTTAAAGAAAATTTAAAAGTTTTCTAGCCTATTCTCATATAATTTATATTAATTATGATATCATGACATAATTTTTTCATTCCAGATAGATTAATAAAATTTGACATCTAATAATAATAATAATAATAATAATAATAATAATAAAAGTAATAATAATAATATTTATTATTATTTGTTGCGAGTTAGAACATTTGCGGTTGTAGAGATATAAAGAGCTTAAGGTCTTAGCTTTGAACGAAGATCCATCACACATACATATAAAAGAAGAGTGGTGCAAGAGTTATAAGAGATACCAAGATTTTTACTTGGAAAACCCTGAAAAGGGGAAAAATCACGGGGCCTAGCCCAGTTAAAATGATTCTATCAGTATTTGTAATCGACTATAATTGATGCCCTTCCTTGGAGGGAAGATATTGGCTTAATATAAAAAATATACATCATATAGAGCACATTATATGGTAGGAGTTATGGTGATATGAGAATTGTTCACAAGGGAGTGTTGGCATGTTCATTTGCTCGGAAGGACTGTAGTTGGGCGACAGCGGTCGGATGGATCGTAGTTGGGCGATAGTGGTTGGAGGGCGTGAAGTTGGCAGGCGACAGAGGTTGGAGAGAGCTTAGTCGACGGGCGATGATGGTTGGAGAGACAATTAGCAGCAGGTGATAGAGGTCAAAGGGAATGTGAAAATAAGTGATGAAAGTTTGAGGGACTATCGACCGTGGGTGACGGAGGTCAAAGAGACCGTAGTCGGCGGGCCGTAATGGTCAGATGGACCATAGTCAGTGGTTGATAAAGGTCAAAAGGACTGTAGGGTGACGGTGGTTGGAGGGACCGTAGTCGGCGGGCGACTGTGGTCTGTAGGAGACAGAGGTTGGAGGGATCATAGTAAGCGCGTGATGGAGGTCGGAGGGACCATAGTCAATGGGTGATGGAGGTGACCGTAGTTGGTGGGTTACGATGGTTGGAGGGACCGTAATCGACTAAGACGGTGGTCAGAGGGCTGCTAGTCAGCGAGCGATAGTGGTCGGAGGGATCGTTGTCAGTAGGCAATGGTGGTTAGAGGGTTTGTAGTAGGTGGGCGACGGGGCTCAGAGGGGCTATGGTTGGCAGGAGATAGAGGTTGGAGGGGATATAGTCGACAATAATGAAGTTCAGAGGGATTGTAGTTAGTTAGTAACCAAGGTCAGAGGAGCCACAGTCGATGGGAAATGGTGGTCAGAGTGATCATGGTCGGCGGGCGATGGAGGTCCGAGGAATTGTAGTCGGCGGGTGACAGAGGTCAAAGGGATCGTAGTCGACTGGGGATGGAGGTCGAAGGTTCCTTTGTCAGTAGGCGACCAAGGTTGGTGGGTCCATAGTTAATAGGCGATGGAGGTACTAGGGATAGTATTCGGTGGGCGATGGTTATTAGAGGGACCGTAGTCAGTTATGATGGTGGTCAGAGGGATCATAGTCAATGGGCGACGATGGTCGGAGAGACTGTGGTTGGCGTACAAATGAGTTTGGGGGGACTATAGTCGATGGGTGACGGTGATCGGAGGGATCATAGTTGGACGAGGGTGGTCGGAGGTAGGGGTATCAATATGGGTTTTTGGGTCAGGTTCACATTCAACTTATCCAACTTGAACCTGATTGGATTAGAAAATAGGTCAGAAATTCTAACCCAGACTTGATCCGCCAAGTTGACTTGACCTTACCCACTAACCTGGGTTCTAAGCAGGACATCAAGCTAGCAAGGGCGAGTGGGCGAGCTTAGGTATGAAGTGTGCGACTCGCATAGGCAAGGGTTAGGCACTAGCTGTGCAATGCTAGTGCGAGCGGAGCATTGTTGGGTGTGACATTAGCACAGTGCGAGTATGTGGTGCGAGAGTGAGTGCAGGTGTTAGAAACAACTAGAGCACGATTGATGTATGGGCCAGGTGCGGGTGCGAGTGTAAGCACGTGGCTGGAAGCAACACGAGCATAGTTACTGTGCGGACTGGGTGCGGGTGCAAAATCAGGAAGAGAATAATCCAACCATCATGCACCCATGTTGTATTTGGGTCACCTTCAGTTTTCCATGTCAACCTGAACATAACTCTATTTTAGAAATGAGTTAGAATCTTTAACTCAAACCAGGCCTGTCTGACAAATAGGTTGACCCAGACCCAAAATTTTTTAGGTCGGGTCAAGTATTGACACCCCTAGTGGGAGGGAGACATGACGGTGTTGGATGGATGAAGGTTTGACAATGATGGCTAGTGGGTTTAACAACGGTGGCTGGATGGCTAGGAATCATTGTGTTGATATAGTTACTATTTAGTTTTGCTTCTTTGATATTCTTGCAACTTGTATACTTTTGATGATTTCAAATATTATTATTATGATTATTATTTTTCCTAACATATTTTTGGACGAATTATTTTACTCTTGCGTGTACTAACATTTCATAGAAATCAAACTCTAGATTGTTGAAGACTTCACATCAAGATCAGTTTAGAGTTTATTGTAAATTGAAGTCTACATTTTCATTTTATTAAGTCTGAGAGAGTGTGATTGTAATTGAGTGACTGAGTACACACACACTGGGGGAGAGTGTATAAAATTCATATTTTTGAATTGATCGTACAATACAAAACTATTTCGTACGGGGTAATCTGGTCAGATATTTTCCCAATGAGCAATGGAGCGAACAGAAATGAGCAAAAATTTTTTTTTAAGTAAAAGATCATACGGACGATATTTTTCATTCACACCAGGACGATGCCCTCTAGATCGTCCTCAAACGAAGATCGTACGGATGATATTTTTTGTTTGTACTAGGACAATGTCCTCTGGTTCGTCCTTGAACGAAGTTCATACGGATGATATTTTTTGTTCATACTAGGACGATGCTCTCTGGATCATCATCGAACGAAGATCATATGGATGATATTTTTTATTTGTATTGGGACGATGTCCTTGTTTGTCCTCATACGAAGATCGTACTGATAATATTTTTGTTCGTATCGAGACGATGGGCTCTAGTTCGACCTCGACAAAGTTCGTACGGATGATATTTTTTGATCGTATCGGGACGATGGGCTCTAGACTATCTTCATTCATTTCGTCCTGACGGTTCGTACATAATAACTTTGAAAATTTTTTCTGTTTGTACCGGATGATGATCAGGTACGAAATGATTTCATACCGATTCACAATGAGTTCGTACACAACAGTATTTGTATTATTTGTACGTATGAAAATACGATCATACGGTACAATCGTGTGGATAGTCAATTTTGAAAATTTTAATTTTCTGGACGGTTTTTCGTGTCTTTTCTATAAAAAGTTCACTAAAAACTGTCAATTAATCTTTTTGTCATTGGGTCTTCGTGATTGGTAAATGGCAATTAAAGGTGAGAGTTCTAGAGAGATTTCTTCCTAGTGGAGCCTGAAGGGTTCACAAGGTTACTCAAGGGTAAGGATATTTGTGCGTAATTTTTATTTTCTTCACTCTTTCTCTTGTCTTTCTAGATTGCTCATGTGAAGATATTTCAAGAAGCTAGATCCGGTTCTCTGTCGACACTTGAAAAATGTGAACAACCGAAGGTTCTCTGCTTACAGTTGGAGGGTGTGAAAGGAAAAATGTTCTCTGCCTACACTTAGAGGGTGTAAAAGGACGAAGGTTCTCTGCCTACACTTGGAGGTTGTGAAAGGATGAAGGTTCTCTGCCTACACCCGGAGGGTGTAAAAGGACGAAGGTTCTCTACCTACACTTGGAGGGTGTGAAAGGACGAAGGTTATCTGCCTACACTTGGAGAGTGTGAACAACCGACGGTTCTTTGCCGACACTTAGAGGGTGTAAAAGGACGACGGTTCTCTACCGCACCGGGTATTAGTGGAATAGAGTTTTGTGAAGGCTTCTCCGCCTTGCTATAGGGGCAAAAGGAGAGACACTCTTGGTAATAGTTCAATACCTGAAGTGGGAGACTTCAAGAAGTGGATGTAAGTCGTGTTTGACCGAACCACTATAAACCTTTATGTCTTTTTTTATTTCTGCTACATTTTTAATTTCTGCAAGTTTATTTTTCTGTGGTTGAGAAATTGTTTTAAAATTTTAAACTCAACTTGCTACAAATCTTTAATCAGTTTCTTACTTTTTTAAATCTAAGAAGTTTCAATTCTTTAAATTACCAATTCAACCCCCCTCTTGGTTAGCATTGGGACATTAGTTTAGGTTTAACAACCTATTCTAGATTCAACAAGTTACAACACGTTGGTGGTGGTGTCAAGGTGTAGCTCCATGATTCTTCAAGCCATATAGCTTTCTTGATCTCTAACCGAAGGTCCTAGCTTCCAATGGTTTAAGCTCCCTTTTATATGGGAAGGGGGGATTTATTTATAGATTTTTTAGAGTAGCATGCTCCATAAATATGAAAAAAATCAATGGCAAATTCGGAGTGCTCCATCGAAATGCCCATATCGATTCCTTCAATCATATGGTGATAATGTAGAATTAAGTGCCTTAATTATGTCAGAATTAAGCGATCTTAGACTCGTTGGATTTGTCTTATCGAGCCACTCGATTTGATTATAAGCATGCCAAATTTGAAGATATTTTAATAATTCAATTTATACTTTGAAGCTTTCAAATATGCTTTGGTCCCTTGATTTGGACCCATTTTGGCTCATATTAAACTGATTTTGGTGTCACTGGGTCCGTCTCCTTGAGATATTCAATTTGACCAGAAGTTTCCTGAACTTTGAGTTTTGATGGTCCTGAATTTAATCTTGGAAGTTGTGAAGTTGAATATGGCTTGAGATTTATGCATGATTAAGACAATTTGGTGATGTATCATTATTATTATTTCAAAATATTGACTATTAAAATACAAATTTGAGAATTTAAAGTGAAGATAGTGATAATATATTTCAAAATCTTATCGATAAAGTCAATACTAAATTAACTTTATTACATGATGATGTTAGGGCATGAAGTATAAATATACTCTAATAAAAAGAGTCGGTTGGCTATGTATGCCACACATATCTTTAAATGATGGGCGTTGTATGGTTATAAAGACATATGGCTGATATAATTTATGGATGGTATAGGGTTGGCTTGCTTGGCTAATCCTTTTTTAAAAAATAGTAATAATAAATAAATATACTGCTTTTTTTATTTCAAAAAATAATAAAAATTATAAAATATACGAGAAAAAGTCATGATATTAAAAATCAATCATTTAGCCACAAATTATTTTCATGATGGAGCTCTCATTAATTGATCTCATACCAAACTCTCTTTATCGACAAGGGAGTAGGTGAGTGAATTATTGCCTTATTGGCCTATGTAATAGTGCTGTGTATGAGGCTTGAATATTTTTTTTGGGGGCGTTAGGATCAATTCTTTTTATTTTTTATTTTTTATTTAGTTTTGTTAGTATTCAATTAGTGCCATTATTTTTGTTTACTTATGATTACTTAATAAATCAATTGAATATATTTAAATACTTTCATAAATATTTGATTGATAAATTAATAAATTTAAATAGCTTATTGTTCATTTATTTATGATCATAAATAATATTTAAAGCTTGTGAATCAACTCGAGATAATATAGAAGAAGATAGTTTGTGAAAGTTTATTTTGTATTTGTTAGTATTTGATCAAATTTGTAATTAGTTTCTTTTTCTTGATTTCAGTTTTAGTGAGCTGGTCTAGTCTCTTTTATAGAAATGGATTTATAAATAGCGGGCTTCTTTTTGTTTCTGTGGGAGGGGAAAAAATAAAAATTTGTTCTATTTTCTCTCCAAAATCTATGAGTACTCTCCCTTCTCCCTCTCTCTTGTGATGCAGCCATTCACGAAGCTTATCTTCCTCAAGAATTCACAAAAGTATTATACATTTTGTATAATATGTATAGATACATGATAACATAAGAAAAAATGTGTAATAACAACAATAATAAATAGCAATTTGATGTAGAGATAATAAATGAAGAAAATACAAAAGATAAGCTAATTATTTTTTCCCCAATATGTCCCCTTAAGGCATAGTCTTGTGAGAGAATAGTAATCTTGATATGAAATCAATTGAGGGGTGTATGAGACAGTGGCTTAGTCAATTCATAGGCAAGCTGGTCATTAGAGGAAACATGAGAGTCATGAATTTCTTAATTTTGCATTTTTTTCCTAATGAAATGAAAGTTAAGAGTTATATGCTTCACGTATGAGTGGAATATAAGATTGACACAAATGTAGGTAGCACTCATATTATCACAATAGACTGCGGGCATTGAGTTCATAAAAAATATATTATGATGAATAAATTTCAGCCGTGGTGGAGGTAATAACAAGATATTCAATTTCAGTGGAAGAATGAACATACGCCCACTATTTCCTAGAGTTTAAGGAGATATGATTATGAAAAAAATAGCATAGGTATTTGTGGAGTTTCACTTGACAATATTACTTGCTTAATCCATATCAAAGTATCCATTTAGTGACATCTAAGAAATTGCTCATGATGTATGATTGCAATAAGATTTTGAATAATTATTTTGGTAGCAATCTACTGAGTAGCTCTAGGCCGATGCATGAATTGGGAGAGTTTGTTGACAATGAACGCAACATCCAATCTTATTAGAGAGAAGTATTGGAGGTTTCCAACGATGGAGTCATATTCAATGGCGTTAGTGATGATGATGCAATCAAGGATAATAGGTGTATGATTTGTAGACATTGGGGTGGTCACCCTATTTGCATTGGATACTAGTTCATTTTAAGAGAACTTTTTATGTATTTGCATTAACACATAAACAAACCTTGAGTAGAGGGAACGATTTTAACACCAAGGAAATATGAGATGTTTCTAAGATCTTTGATAGAAAAATTTTCAACAAGTTGATGTATGACTTATTGAAGAAAGCTGTTATCACTCTCTATGAGAATAATGTCATTGACATACACTAAAATATATAATGTACAGGGTTTTCGGTAATAGATAAATAATGATGCATCTAACTTTACATTAAGAATGTCAAATATTAGTATTTGGTCCAATTATAATTAGTTTTGTTTTCTTGATTTCATTTTTAGTAAGCTGGTCTAGTCTCGTTTAAAGAAATGGACCAATAAATAGAAGGCATTTTATTTGTGTTAGTAGGTGAGGTGAAGGAATACAATTCTATTTTTGTTTTCTTCCCAACATGGTGAGCTATCTCCCTTTCTCCGGCTCTGCCTCTACTTTGCCTTTCTCTCGATGCAAGCTGTAAGAATTTGCCAAAAGGGTGCTGCTATTTTTTGGTCAAGCCAAAGAGTAGGGTCATAATGCCCCATTATTTAATTTACTCTATGCATCCCCCCATTACATGTGCTATAATAGTGGCCAAGTGAACAACTGCAATGGATCTGCCAGAGCGGGATGTACTAAATGAGTAACACAGTGCAGTTTAAGTGTCAACAGACAATGTTATGCACTTAGCCACTATTATAGCATATGTAATGGGAGGATGCGTAGAGTAAATTAGATTCTAGGGCGTTACAAAGGCTATTGGTCTAGGAATGGGGATAAGGCCAGGTGGTGACCGATGCCAATGAGAGCAAGGTGTTGTTGCTAAAGAAACAAGACGAACATGAGGTGGAGCTTGGTCAGGACAACAAGATTCAATTCAAGATCTCCTCCTTCCAAGGTGTTTTCACAACACCACAAGATAGAAGAATGCAACTAAGATGTTGATTACATGCATGAGGAGCTCTTTTGAATCTATAAAGAGCTCATTGTAGATAACATGGATGAGTAGGATTACTTTAATCATGAAATTCCAAATGTTGGATTATGAAAACATCACCAATGAGATAGAAATGAAGGAAGACATTATTGACATTTGGTTGTTTGAGTGATAAACATTTTGAGAAAGCAATACTTAGAATGTGTTAAATAGTTATTTTCATGATGACATGGATGAATGTTTCAAGATAGTCAATCTCAAGGTATTGATAAAAGCCTTTGGCTACAAGATGGGCCTTCTAATTTAAGGAGTAAAGATGTGTATGGTGTGGACATTCAAAAGGAAACCACCAGCTGTAGAGTGTAGAGGGGTATACGATCACTCCACCCCGAGGGATAGAGATGATTGTAAGCCTCCGCGCTCCTCGCAAATGGGTCAATGGAAGGGAAAATTAGATTGTACATATAACTAACCATTGACGATAGAGTCTCTCTCCAGTGCACCCCGATTGGTAGTAATATATATGACCTGGTCATAATAATGGGTTTCCCCCCACCCGATACATCAGCTTGAGTGGGGGTTTATTTGATGGTGGAGTTCCGTTCCCATGGGCGCAAGCCACCGTGGTTAATTAGGCTCGAGAAAACTCTCGATTAAAGATCCGACGTACATTATTCTTCCTAGACAAGGGATTGGTATACAAAGGGGGACTAAGAAGCTCCTACTCAAAGGGAAAGAAGGGCTCAAGTGAGCTTAGTCGACATGCACGTCTCAAACTAACATCCAGAGGGACTAAAGCACTGAGGAGAAAGTGGAGAAAAGAAAATCATGCACTCAAAGCATCTAGAGAGAAAGGATCAAAATGGCGTCATTTATGTGACGTGGATAAGTAGGATTTATAGTCCATGAAGAAAAGAAACTTACCCACTTTTTAGGCATACTATGAGATACCCAGTATAGTAGCCTCGAATCCTAGATTTAAGGTAGGTTTAGTGTTCTACTCAACACTAACACCCGTGTCCTAACTAATGCACTTGGGCTTATATCCTGCCTGAAAAGGAAAGTCAGCTAACCACCTAGATGCGTAAAATCCATGTTATTAGGTCTTTATAAAAGATGAGTAGGTAGTTTAGTTTTTGGAAGTAGGACTAATGTCTAGAGAGTTTCCTAATTAGACTTATATAGGATAAATGCTCCTAAAGCTAATGCAATTAAAAATTTAGTTTAATTAGTTTCTAATCCAAAGCATGCTAATCAAAATGTCTAAATCTTGAATGCTTAGAATTTTAAAAATAGGCTTAGATAAAAATATATATTAAAAAAAAACTAAGCTTCTCAAAGTCCGGCATCTCATCCTCATAGGCCAGATTATCTAAATTCTACTCGCAGGTGAAGAAGTGTCTTATAATAAGGAGAAAGAGAGATGCATTAATATGCATGCGACCCCGAACGATTCTGATAATTCTTTAGGTTGTTAAGTTTCTATGTTATTTAATTCTTAAAATTTTAGAATTTGTTTATGAGTAAAAAAATAATTTTATCTTAGATAGCCTAGCAAAAATAGGCCAAGCACATGCAAGAAAAGAAACCTAGAAAACATGTAATTTCTTATGCACAATCAATGTAAACACATCAATATAAATCAACCAAACACAGAAAAGTAAAGTCCAAAGTTAAGGGCAAGTGCCGTATAAATACAACCTAGGGTCTGCAAAAAAGTAATAGTGGCTAGGCTCCACCGACAACATCCTAAATTCTAATCCTAATGAATGACGCAAGTCTTAAAAGCCATACATTTCATCTTCAAGTCTGTCTTTGAGTGGATCATCTTTCTCCGGATCATCTCCCTTCGGATCGTCTCCTTCGGGCTCTATCTGGTTCGTCCTCTGGAAGGTTACCCAAATGACTAAGAAATTCCCTTTAAACGGCCTTTCTTATTCTCTTTGGATACAAAGTGTTTAAAATGTTGGAATTTTAAAGACTTTCACAACTCAATAAAATAAATTACATTACATTATAAAAAGAAAGATTTAGACCCAGACTCATGCATGATTATCCTAATAAAACACCCAAGCAATTCATACATCACATCCAAGCAATTTATATACGTGCAGAAAAGTAAACACGCTTGGCCACGCTTTTTTAATTTTAAAGGGGGTTAGGCAGTCTCTAGAGCATCTACATAAAAATTTGTTAGCATTTAAAGCTTAATTATTAATCCCCATTTATTTTAGTGCTACATGAGCTTGACCACCTGCATAAGATTGAGTTGGCATAAAAGCGGCCTAGCCCATGGGCTTTCTAACACAATAGCAACAACATAATAAATGTATAGAAAATGTAATAAAGCAAACTTAATCATAGCACAACAGAGCAAAGAAAATCAATCAATTACTCGTGCCACACACA